GGACCATTGCTGCCACCTTAGACAACAAAAGTATATCTTGATACAGTGAACAAAACTACACGCCTTACCTTATCAAAGAACGTGACGTGGCAGACCGGGAACAATTTTTTTTTCAACGGTGCAGTAAACTAGGAGTGAAAGCGAGTCGTCTATGGTAAACATGGCGCGCTGAAACTTGAATTTCTGTCTATATCTGCTTCTGACAGTTTTTTGTGGACTGAAATGATTTGCTTTTGATACGATTACGAACTTTCCTGCTATTTTTTTGAACCGATACGCAGATTATGAGAGAAGAAGACTTGTGCAGGCTTCCTTAAAGACTTCTTCTGTCGCCCTGATTACAATAGTCTTGGGGCTGCGAGGGATAGTAGGCAATTGCAAGTCTTGTAATACAGAGAGAAAATTTTATAAATGTTTATCAGCTGAGACAGAAAGCATTTTTCATCAATTTTGATAATTGCCCTGGTCAAAAAAAATTAAAACATTACCAAAGGCTTTACCTTGCCTAAAAGTATGAGAATTTCACTGATGGTGAAAGTTTCTTAGCAGGGCTGGTTTCGTAGCTTTGGCGTTGATGTACAAAAGTAAACTTTCATTAAACTTTTCCGTTTGTTTTACAGTTTACTGATGCTAACTGAGCCTACAAAATTGTGCAACAGCGTGCGTATTTGGCGTCGGAAACAAAATTGATATTCAATATCAATCGTTAACTTTACCTGGCCCCATGCGATTACCTATACTTATTCTGACCTTTATTGATACTTAAATCAAAAACTAGACGTGTATCCCCGTTACCTCGTTCTTTTGAGTACAGAGAAGCCCCATTATCAGATGAAAAGAACACAAATGTATTTTCAGATAATCCTAGGTCTTCCAGTTTCTGTAGAATCCTACGGACACTGTCGTCCAGTTCTCGTACGGCATCTCCATACCTGTAGAAATAAAACCCACATGAAAGTATTTCAAAGTGACATTGAAAGCTGGTTGTCGTAGAGGTTGTTCTGTTTTTTCATGCTGTCGAATGAAGTGTTTCCAAAATAACAATGTCGACTTTGCTCACTCATCCTGTAATCTTTTGATGTACAAGTCAAAGTAAACCCCTTTTCCTCCCGCCAGGAAATTACGGTACACAGCTAGCAGCTGTTCGTGCATGTTCCGACTGGGTTGGGAATTCGCGCGTTTTTGTTGTTTTTCTGCGAAAATGTGGGTCATTGGTTAAGATTCAATGGAAAATACAACATGGTTGCTATTCTTCCTGCAAATATTTATGGAGATTCTAACTCGGTAGGCACTGCTCTTCCAAACATTCTGTTTGGGGTGTACTTTGACTGGTGAGTATCATGCTGTCACCTAATTGAACGAAGAAACTTCAAAATTCAACATTTTCCAGAAACTTTTCCCCTATTTAACTTTTTAATTTCCTCTCTTTTTACTCTCTTCTGAGAATCAAAGCCTATATAACTGCTTTTAATGAAATAAAAATTGGAATTTAAAGCATTAGGATAAGAAAAAATTACTGAGTTTAAAAATTATGAAATTGATCAAGACCAAGGTTTCCACTATCTGCCCAAGACGAGGGCCGATGAGGCAGATACAATAATTATTCCAATAATTGTAATATTAACTATTCTGACTACTAACCTTCCCCTTTGGCTATAACCAATAAATTTTGACGAGGCATACACAGGACCGTGGGTAGCATCTGGGGCCCAATACAAGAAAAATGGCCTCTTAACTTTTGATTGAGATTCAATGAAATCCAGGGCTTCCTGAAAGAAATTTCCAGGTAGAATATGGGTTAGTTTTGTGGCTTAATAAATTCCCCAACAATTCTTCCAAATGAAGTTTACTGGGCCAGTCTCTCTTAAACTGAACTTAAATTTTCAGTTAAAATGTGCACTTTATGGGCGAAATAAACACCATTTCCCAGTTTCCATACATTTTGACTCAATTCCTAAAACATTTAAACCCAGTTTTTCAATTTCCCTTAAAGGATGGCATCATCAGGAGTCCAGTAACTTAAAGAATGAAAATGTCGTTCTAACAGGCTTGTTAATTCAATATTTAATGGTAAACAGGTATAGTTTTATATGTTAGACTTGTTTGCTTCTCATACCTCTGTGTACAGTTGAGTTAAGTTGGACTCTCCAGTTTTTTTATTAATGGGAAAATGCTGATAATACCTGGAAGTGAAAACAAAAATATTTATTTTGAAGTACACTTTTACGACAGCCCAATCAATCAAAAACTATCATTCCAGAAAAATATAATAATGCTCTTTGTTCTTAAATTGTCTCATCAAGCTATTGTTATTAACTGTGCAATTTCATCTTCTAAAATTTCTTGGCTATTATGATCAGGGCTGTGCTCTAGCAGTGCCCAATGGCCTGGTGCCTTACTTTTGCACTTGGGACACTCAGGACTCTTAGGTTTTTTATATAAAGCATATGCTGGGCACCCTGTATTTCACACTTTCAGAGCACTGGGTTCCCTTCAATTTTTCCTAGAGCACAGCCTTGATGATGTTGAATTAAAACAAATCATACTTAAAATATTCATGACAGCCTCAAAATGCTGAGAAGTTGTAGAAGAAAAGGATCCAACTCAGAAGAGAGCTATTAATCATTTATTAAAAATCACAGAAAAATGAAATATACTCTTGGTGCAACTGACTTGAAAAGTACCTGAAATAATGTAACTTCACAGAAGAGTCAATTCAACAAAAAACTAATCTTTTATGATAGAGTGCTTAGGATAGACTGACTGACCTGCCAACCATTTTGTCATCTTTGTAGACTGGAATGTTTGGGGTTTGTTTATTGTCATATGGACCAAAA